CCTCGACGTGATATTGATTAATTTTATCGCGTAGGAGGCTAAAGTAGAGGTTGTATTTGCTTCTTGAATCTGCTTTGTGGCGACAGTTATCAAGGCCTTTTGCCCACCTTGAGGTAAGTTGATCAGGATAGCGCTGGACGAAGCGACTAGCCCAGTGTACTCCAACCTCAGTCTTGGCGATCTGTGAGGCAAAATTGCGTATCATTGGCTGAGTAGGTGGTAAGCCTCTATCTGTTAGTCGATTGATATAGGCGATTAGGGCCTGCTCCTGCTGTGGGTGGAGGAGCTGCCGTTTTTGGCCACCTATCGCGCGTGAGGCGTGTAGGCCTTGGTGTCTTCGGGTAAGCGTAGATCGAACAACACCATATTTTTTTGCAATATCTGTATACGAAAAAGGCTCATCAGGTCCTAGGGCATTAATAGCTGCAAGCGCAGCCTCAATATTAGCCATGGTGGTGGGGATACGACGCGTTGAGGTTGAGGTGGTTGTAAGGCGCGCGCGCACTTTGTGGTCGCGCGCACTTTGTGGTGGGGCTAGTTAAGCCTCGCAGTTGGCTACAACCGTGGTTCATGACGTGAATGACTTGCCGTCTTTCAACTTTTCGCATCCAGGCACAATTTCTCACAACGACACAATTCTTGGTCCAAGCTCCCTGTATGCCCGTATCCGCGTACCCCCGACGATATATCTGCGCAGGCTGCCTGCGCGCAAAACGAGGATCATATGTCTTCGCCCCTGTTCGAGCCGCCGCGGGGGGGCATGTGAGGTGCTATGGACAGGCAGCAACACAGAACAATGATACACAGAATGGCGAAAGCGCAATTGAGAATTCGGAGGTATCAAATGGAGCTGCAGAGGTGAAAGAAGAGAAGGAAGAGGGAGCACTCACGCGGCGATTACGGGACATGAGCGAAGAAGCCCTGGAGTCTGGCGGACATGGTGCCATCAAAGCTGTGGAGGAGGCAGGGTTCAGTCCGGAACTCAAGGCGCAGTTGGAGCAGAGAATTGCTGCCGCGAATCTCAGATCGTCTGAAGCAGAATTGCCCACGTCTGCCTCTCGCCACACGCGCGACCTTGCCACAGCCGACGTATGGACTGGCACCGAGTCTATCCACGATGCCAGCTTGCGTATGCTCAACGACGCCCACAAACCTATGCGAATGGGTCGCCCACCGAAAATACCTGGTGTACAACCACCACAATCAATCGATACCGGTCACAGACGTAGTAAGGAGGGCCGTGGCTTGCGATTGGCGAATGCACGCGACAGGAGCTCTGTGTATGCGACATTGGTGGAAAATGGGGATATTGATGCTGCAGAACGTGAGAGGCGGCTTCAAGAGCTCAAAGAACGATTCGAGCCTGGTGCGCGTGCCATTGTTCCTGGAACCATACAAGGACTTGCATCGCTTGCGAATAAGAGAATCGAAGATGCAATCGCTCGTGGACAGTTCAAAAATATTCCTCGTGGGAGAAATGCCAACGTGGAACGAGATTACAACGCTTCAAGTCCATTCATCGATACAACCGAGTACTTGATGAATAAGATTATCCAAAAGCAAGAGATCGTGCCGCCTTGGATCGAGAAACAACAGGAACTCACATCAGCAGTGAGTAAATTTAGAACTCGCTTACGTGCAGACTGGAAGAGACACGCGGCACGTATGATAGCTAGCAAAGGCGGCTCGCTGGTAGAACAAGTCAAGAGAGCCGAGGCATACGCCAAAGCGGAACTTATGGTGAATCCGTTAAAGAAGAAGCGGGTAACTCTTACAACAACCAATGAAGGTGGACACATGTCACAGATTTTTCTGTCAGGGGAATTGAAAGTATCTCCGCCAGCTGAAGGATCCAACGGCGGACCAGTGGTTACAGAAGAGGTGGTAGCTGAGGTAGTCACGCTTGATGCTTCCCCAGAAGCCGTGGCGCAGAATCGTTCTGTGGGTTCAGTCGAAGAGATCTCTACGCAAACCATGGAGGTGCCAGTCCAAACCCCTGAAGCTTCAGTACCTCCAGCACCGTATCCCTTCCGCGACCCGGATTGGGAGCGGATCGAAGGCAGCTACCTGGCTGTTGCAATCAAGGATCTCAACGACAAGGCACGAAGCTACAACTTGCAAGCACCGGAGCTAGCTAAAAGGCCCTACTTCAATCTTCAACGCGAGCTGAACTCGTGCTTTGCCGATGTTGCACCTCAGCTCGCTGCAGCCATCATTGAGCGCACACGCAGACCACCCAAGAAGGCAGAAACTGGATACACCTCTGGCCAAAAGAGCGTTCTCGATAACATCATTGGTGGGCCTGTCCGAGTACGAGATGAGCGGCGCGAGAAGCAGTATGGCTTCAAGCAGTTTTGGAGAGACCTCTGGGCTGACAAGTCGAGCAACCCGTACTAAGCCACACGACACTAAAGCTAATCGCCACTCCGCGGAGGCTCTTAGACCCCCCCTCCTTGATTCAATCGCGTACCGTTTAAATACCACGCCAATGCACGGCATCGAGTAAAATTGATCGACAACCTCCTCGCCTATCCTGGTATGCAGGGTGCAGCGAAGCCACAATAGGTGTACGGTGATCTACGGCATTCCTTTTTCTTCTTTATGCGCTCATGACAATATGCACACAGGGTCGAAATAGGAAATGGGCCAAGCTGTAAGGATTTCCATGTCCTTCAATCTAGAACGGGGCTGCGTTCTGCAGGTGCGTTACCGGGCCCATGGTTCGATAACGCACGAGTGAGGCAGCAGGCATTGATCGGTAACAGGTCACAGCAAGGGCGCGACTGGTGTGACTGGTGTGACAGGCATGACAAGCAGGGTTTAGACGGCTACACTTACCCTCGTCGTGCCGTGTAACGACTCGAAGTCGGGTCCGGGAGTTGCATTTCCTTAGTATGTCGGCGATGCCGCTGCCGGCCCTCAACATCCGCTCGGCAAAAAGTAATGTATACAACCAAAGATCCTTTCTTGCCCCCCGTCTTTCTCTCTCTTTCTTCCCCCATGCATAGTCGTTCGCTTGTCGCACTTTATGGCCTGATAGGTCTTCATCAGCTACAGTGCAACAAGATACACATTCTCTCAGCTAGCCATGGATAATGAGTCGATTTGGATGCTTTGCCGAAGGACATGGCAACACTTATGGCAGCACTTTGACCAGCCCAGAGCCACAGCCACACTCTCTACCCGACCCAGTATAGTTTACCGCATAGACTGCGCCCTGGCAGGTGCACTCTCACCGTACACAGCAAGCCCAAGAATTTCTTTATCCGCAATCCGGGGGGGAAAAGTAGTGTTTGCCGTGAGACGACGACGACGACAACGCATTGACCTCGCACCCTCTTTCTCTCTTTATCTCTCCCTCACACACCCACACATTCTCTCACACTCATCCTTCGCCTCGCTAGCGTGTAGAGCGAGAAAAATAAACGACCCGGCGGGATACAAGCGGTTACGTCCGTGGACATGTGCATGCTCGGGGTCGCCACCACCACGCGCAGCCAGCCTCCCGCTACTCATCCGCATCCGCCCACCCACCTTATTATGATGTAAACAACACGGAAACGTCCCGTCATCATCTTGCCCATGTCACATGTACGTTCAAGTATATTTTTCTCCTTCCTTGCTCGCGTATAACCTCCACCATGATTATCACAGAGAACAACGCAGACGCATATACGCAAGGTGCACCCAAAAAAGAGAGAAGAAGAAGCCAAGAGCAAGGCAAGCACGCGTAGTAACAAGAATCTCGTTTACGGCAGGCTAGGTGTATGCAAACTACAAACCAACGACTAGTCAATCAGCTAGGAGATGGAGTCGCGGAATTACAAACCCGAGCTGCCCCTCCAAGAAAAAAAAATCCTCCCCGCGTATGTAAACCGTTTAAGTACGTACATACACTAAGTAGGACATGTATGTATGTATGTAAGCGCGCACGGATCCTGCTGCATACATGTAATGTACGTGACGGAACCCCGAACTGGAATCCTGGATTCTCTCCTTTTTGGTTTTACCCACTTGCAATTGTTATTTGATTTGATTTTTTTGCTTTTTCTTCTCGTCTCTTCGGGCTTTCTTTACTTTTTTCGTTGCTGTGCATGTGTGGGTGTGTGTGCCTGCATCAAGGTACTTAGCGGTTGTCCAAGCTCGTTCCCCCCCCCCCTGTGGAGGAGGGGGGGGGAGGAATTGGCACTAATCCTTCTCTTTCTCTGATTAGGGGGGGTGAGGGGGGTACACGCGCGCACTCCCACTCCCACATCCAGCTTCAAGCAGGTGTATGTACACCTACTTACGCCAGTCCGCATTACACACGACCCACTTTTTGGTCTTTTTTGCCTGTACCTGCACTACACGCGTCTCTCCAACTTTTGTTTGTCAAGTATGCTGCTTGCTGATTGGTGTGTTGCCAATATGGTTTAGTTTTGCGACAAAGTGGGCATTAGTATTGATATTGGTGGTGATGGAGGCCGAGAGAATGAGGGTGGTCAGCAACATGTTTTTCCCACCACCACAAAAGCACGGCACGTGATGCGAAGGGATTCACGCGGGCTGGGGTCGAGGGCGAGGGGTGGTGGGGAGACAGAGAGAAAGAAGGAAGATCCCAATCGCTACGTACATTGGCTACGTCCTATCTGGATTCAGATGCACAGTGACGTAACCAGTGACGGGATGACTTTGATCACGCCCGGGTACGCGCCCCCCCCAGCCCCTACCGTCGCCCATGGGGATCCGCAGCTAAAAGGTGCAGGTGGTTTGTCGACGAGACGATCGTGCCAAATTAAGGGTAGGTGAAAAAATGATGTTACTCGGTCCATTAACAGAGCGTGATACATACAGTACACATGGAGGCAAGATAATCCCGAAACAAGGGTCCTTTCCCTTCCTCAAAAAAAAAACAAAAAACAAGAGAAAAATCCTTCTTGATATTTCCTTGCCCTCTGTCAGAACCGTCACATGCCCACATATATCCGGGGGGTGGGGGGCGTGATTTGCGAAAAAATATCGACTCTACATACACATATGCGCGTTGAGAAAGAAAGAGGAAAGAAAACACAGCACATGGGGGGAAAACAAACGTCTGAAAAGACATGTCGATCATAGCCATTTTTGTTTTGTTTTACTTTCTATCTGATCACTTGCCATACTCGTCGTGTACCCGGCCCACACACCTCTTATCATAATGTATGCATTGTATACTGGCTATCCTTTTTTTCGTAAATGCATAAGAGCACTAAAAAAAAATACCGAGATTTGGGTGCTTTTCTTGGAAGAAAAAGAGGGGGAGATGGGAGGACGATCAACAAAGCCAGTTTTATGTCGATCATGACTCGAAAGATGCCTAATCTAGCAGAAGTGATTGACCCCCCGTTTGGTTCAGACAGAAAACGTTGCAATGCACAGGCCGGCAACGAGCCGAGCAGCGAGGGTTTCTCAGTACAACATTTGCATCGCATTTGTCGCTGCTGGCTGCCGATCACGTCTACCCTGGTGATGATCTGCTGACGGTAGCGGCCCTCGCCGCAACGCCCGCGTCCGTGGCGCCATCACCTTGCAGTCTGGCGAGGTGGTTTGGACTGAGGGTTGAACCGCCCTGTTCCCTGCGTACCCTCATGCGCTTGCGGGCACTGTTGATGCTGCTCTTTTTGCAGTCGGCTCCCGTGACGACCCGGGCGTTGGGTAGAACGGCGTCTACATCCACGTCCTTCCCGTGTCTACGAGGGCTTTCCTTCTTCGACTTGCCGTGCCTAACGCTAGACTGTTTTCTCATGCACAAGGTTCTCCCAGCCATGTCATGGGTTGGCTTCCCTGCGCCGTCATATGGTTGACAGAAGCAGATCCGCAGAAAATGCCCGGCTGCCGGACCGAAGAATCCAGTGTTGCGTTTTGGTCTGGTGTGTCGGATACTCGCGCGCTTATTGCCCGAAGTTACGGCATCTACACTTTTCTGTTCGTGTAATATGCTACCGTGCGTGGTTGGTGAGTTTCTCCTGTGAAGGATCCTTCCTTTTGCAGTCGTGCTGGCGAGAACAGCTGTGATCAACCGGTTTTTGCGTGAGTTCGCCTCATATCTAAGTTTTTGGACGAGAATTCCTGCAGATCTATGCCTCTTGTACCGCGGGCATGCTTTTGTCTCTTCACACGATCTGCGCTCCTGGGGGTGAGTGGAAAGTGTATTAGTCCGCACGATACCGTCACATCCTTTTACCTCGGCAGCGACGACAATGAATGACTCTCCACACTCTGTCCCAGAATTGATCTGCGATTTTTCGGGATGTCTGTAATTGTGATAGTGCCGCAAATGTGCTGGAAGGGGTACTGAGGACGTAGGTGGCGTAGTCATAGGCTTCAGGGAGGGCCTTGGGGGTAAACATGTTGCTGGAAATACACTGTAGGAAGCCGAGGTTGGCTTGCTACAAGTAGATGCGTTCACAATAGGCGAGCCGCCAAACTCGGAAGCGCTCGTAGTGCCAGGTGTGGAACTACCCTCTGGTTGGATTAGGTTGCCAGATGGCGAGAAGAAAGATATTTTCGGTGTCTCATAGTTCGGACGAATAATGCCCGAGGCTGCAGCAATAGGCAATAGAGTTGTTAGAGCAGATGAGGTAATAGAGCGTCGTGACGGTTCTGCTCTGTGTACTCGCTTGGCTTCAGGAGACTCGGTTGCTGAAACCTGTCGCTCCAGCTCCGCCATCTGCGGTGTAAACCATGATTGTGCTACAGGTGTTGATGAACGCGAGCGAGGTATCGGATAAGGGAAGTCGTGTTGAAGATCGATATCTACACCAACCACTGTGCCGGAATATGATGTTGACACAGTACTACAGAAACTAGCATTTTGACTCGTTTCCTTGTTGCGATCTTCTCCTGTGAATGAATAAGTGGCCTTGCTTGAAGCAGACAACCCATAAAAGTCTTTCCCGTTTGGGTTGGGATTGCCGCTTTTGGCTGAGAGAATGGAGATATCATCGCGACCACCATTCTGAAACTCGTCTCGTGCTTCGGGGTGTACAAGACGCACAGAGCATGCCCGTTGGTATAAGCGCGTTGCAGTCAATGGTTCTGATAACTGAGACATGGCCACAGGGCGGTTCTGAATTGGCAAGGGATGCTCTAGATCCTGGTGCAAAGGAAAGTCTAGACGAGCTGAACGCGCACAATCTGCTGTCAGGGTCCGGACATCCCTGTTGTGATGCTCAGGAGCTGATGATAGAGTCACGCCTTTGGGCGTCATGGGCACACAAAGTGGCGTACTCAGCCTGTCATTGTCTTGGAGGCGCATCTCTAAAGCGTATCCATGGCTATTTGGGCCATCGTCGGTCGTCTCCGGCCGAGGTTCGTGATGTTCAGCAGTGGACGTGTGCGCTGACGACGACCGAGACCGTGTCCGCGAAGCAGCCCGGACGTTGTGAAGGACACCGCGGAAAAATCCCTTGGAATTACTGGTTATCTCATTACGCTTCATTTCTCCCGTCTGATATTGAGTGGTTTGCGGGTGGTCCAGAGTGCTGTGCATTGAAGGAGTGGTGACCTTGTCTACCGGAAACAAGGCATCGGAATCCTTGTTATATGGCTTGCAGGGCGTTCGAGTGGTCGAATCCAGCACTCGCTCAATGTGGGCGTCTTCCGCAATACGCTCGAGAGCATGGTCATCCGGACTAGGCGAAACCTTGAGCGACGCACGACGACCTGGCGAGGTATTTTCCGCCACACGCAGCGAAGGAAAAGGACCAACACTGAGCCTGGAGCCTCGAGAGTTTAGCGTGGAGTAGGAACCTTGCTCAACAATTGTGGCGAGTGGAGCGCCATTGGATCGATTTGCGAGCCGCACGGCAAGATTGTAGGGCACCGCGCGACCTCTTGCATGCTGTTGGTTTCGGCAGTCCTGGACGTCTTCTGCCTCGGATGTGAAATCGTGGTTGCAACCATCATTGGGCGGTGGAAAGCCTTGTTGGCTGCTCGCTTGTGGATGTGATGAGCATGTGTCGCCCACGGCTCTGTGATAGGCGAGAGGATCTCGAGGGAATGCATGAGGCGATGGAGCGCCATACGGATTCGCGTTCGCTCCTTGGGGTCCACCTGTTGCAGCAGGGTGCAAAGTGCGCTGCGCAGAGCTAGCTCGGTACGCTGGGTTCGGGGTGTTGATGCGATCCAGTAGACTGGGGTTGCTGGGTTGGTAGGTAGTGGTAGCCATCATGCTCATGCCATGTCATCGATGTTGATGTCCAGGATGAGATGCGATCGATGCTTAGATCATCGTCGGATGCATGCAAATGTGGGACCCGGTGAATGAATAAACAGCACACACACAGTCGTGGCCTAAGGTAGTGCAGCGAGCCTGCACCCGTCCCCCTCAACGCCCTTCCCGACGTTGGAAATAGGTAGCTGCCGTTGTTCAGCCGGCGCCTGCTCCCCAAGCGGCGGGCGTGGCGCTGTAGAGGCATTGCGCAGGGTGAATCGATCCGCACGTGAAGCCAAGCGCGCCAGCTTCTGTGTGTGACCATCGTAGGCGGCCGCTTCAGGCCAAAGGCTCCGTTTGCGTGTCTGCGGTGCGCAAGCGAGAGGAAGATATCTGACTCGGCAGTCTATGCAAGACGGCAGGCCAATCAAAATGCTCCGCTCACGGGCTGTCCCCCCCCCTCCCCAATACCCAAGACGTTTCCGATGGTTGCAAACCACCTGGCAAAAAGCAAGACCCCCTTCTTGGTCTCGATATCCGGGCTTGCTCCTCCCCGCACGCCTGCCCATGGGCCTTTATTTTTCTTCTCGCCAAGGTTGCTTGCCTGTGGCAGCATGATGCACACGGCACCGAGCATCTCGACGCCTCCTCCAAGGCAAATCCAGGCTCGAGTCGCTGGCAAGCAGCAGATCATGCCGATCAACCAAGCAGCTCATCCAGGCCTGCGAGGGTTCCAAGAGCCCGCATGGATGACGGTTCTCCCCATCCCCCTCCCTCCCCCCCTAAGAGACTATCAATATGGCGTCGCGTCGAGGCGGAACCAGGATGGGACCCTTGTATAGGTAGCGTCTGCCGTCGTGCCCCCCCTGCAAAGCGCAGGCTACGGACCTGGTCTTCATCCGCCAAAAGAGCCGCGCCCCTCCAACACCGCCGCCTATGCCAGCAAAGTGGGTCGACGCTTTCTCGTCTTGTACCTGTTCTGCCGACCAAAGCGGAAGGAGTGATGGCATTCCCCAAAAACCCGCATGTGGCGTCAAAAACCACACGTTGGCTGGACTTCAACGTGCGGCACCTGCGGTTGGCCCAGTCTGGCGTCGGCAGCAGGGCGTATCGGCGACTGTAGCCGCCTCTTGAGCTAGACCGTGGACACAGCCCAGCTGATAGCATATACCCCTTGCCACGTTGCTCCACAAGCCTCCACTGCAGTCTGTGGACAGTTTGGAGCCAAGCCAATAATACAGAGGATCCGTAAACGGTCAGCGCAGGTCGTAGTCCCCGAGCCTCCAAACTTTGTATCAAAATCCGCGTCAGTAGGCTGTATGCCGAACGCTTGTGGCTTATCACTGATTCGCGCACGAGGCCGGCTCGTGGTCAAGGTGCCGGTTAAGCCGTCGTCCAGTAAGCCTCGTGCATGCATAGCAGCTACTGGAGAAGAAAAAAGAGCTGCGAAATGGTGGATTGTCGAGGCCAGTGTGGTGTGAAGACGCCAGAGGCAAATATCACTCGTCTCTAATCGGTATGGTATTAGCATTCACTATTCAGCACCCGTAACCCGTGTGCTCAACCCGCCATTGCCAATGCTTCGTAATTACCTGTACCTAGGTGACTTTAACCTGTTGCTGGGCCATGCAGGACATAGTGCCGCGGGAAATCCTTCGATTGTAAGCTTCCAGAAGCTGCCATGTTCGCAGGGTGTGCATTGCGCATGGCCATCTCCAAACGCCATATTTATTTCGGTCCTAAAATACACGAGCGTGCTCGTACGGCTTGTCAGGCCACTTTAGTCAATGGTGGTGGCTTCCATGCCATCGCTTGTACCCTCGACGAAATACAACAGCTTCTGACCAGAATGTATTGGACGCCTTTGTACCTACCAATTGATCATGATATCTGACTCGTGGAATTCGTAGCCGTGACGACGCCCACCATCATGCAAGCGCGAGGCCGGCATACTCTATCTTGCGGGGCACGATCCACCACACTGTACATGTGGACTGATTTCACATCCTCCCCTCCCCACAAGGACTTGATTAGGTTCGGCCCTACTGTTTCTGGGCGTCCGAATTCGCGTCCAGAGAACCCAAATCCTGGCCTTTTCGGCATCGCCTAGAGCCAAAGATTCAAAAATGCGTGGAAGCGACGAGCTGGTGTCTTGAACCCTATCATCGCACACTTAATTGGCCGTTGCAAATCAATGGGCTTGAGACTCAGCCATACATTTGATGGCACTGTTTGCTTGTTCTTCCCAGCCTCGGACCAGTGCTCATGCCAGTAGGGAGCTTTTAGCCTCGTAGCATCATGGCTAAGCGGCAGCCCAAAACGTACAATGCCAGGCATTGCCTTGAGAAGCAAGGCCAGCACATGCTGTTCCAGATGGCGCATGCAAAGAAGGATGGCAGATATTGAGAGATCTGCAGACCATTGTGCCAGCGCTACCCAGCCAGTGTATGTGAAGCGGTGCCCCTGCGACAAATCAGAGCGGCGGTTTTACCATACTGCTTCTTACCGTTACCGTCCGTACGGGAACATACGCGAGAGCCAGGTGACCCACCCTGTCAACGGATCGGCGCAAGCCAGGCAACAAGCTAAGATTTGCGGTTGCGTACGTAGTCGCGTTAACGAAATGGCGCCCCGGCCCGAGCGAGTAGTGGTGGGATGAGTCGGTATCCCTCAAGCAAGGAAGCTTAGCACATCCCGCGTCCCTATCGCTGTGGCTTATGCACCATGTTACGACAAGAAAGTGGGATAATGGTGCCCAATTGTCACGTGACGGCGACTCGATGTGATCTTCCAGCTTCCCAGCCAGCATCCTGGCTCCGAGTATAAAGACAAAATACACCGTCAGCACCCGTACCTCAGCCACAAGCTTTCACCCTGGGTTTCTGTGTTCCTGTCGTTGCCGTGGTAGATCTAATCGTGGAAAAGACACTGCCGGAGATGTCAATGCCCCCTCTTCCTCAGAGCGCCGACAAGAGTGCCATCTGCGCTCGACTAGGTCTTACTGACCAAATCCATAAGCTACTCCTTGTAAGTGTGCGAGTCATATCCAGCAGACCACTACTGATCAACTCGTACAGAAAGAGGCCGAGCTGGCTCGAGACGCCTTGAGCAGTAATCCGTACAATTTGACAGAGCAGTCCAAGGCGGATCCCTCCGTGGCCGAGCCTTATAGATGGGACGAGATTTCCGAGACGGCAAAGCATTCATACGTATTGATGGTCGTTCGCGATGCTTGCGCCGAGACACGCCCATACTATTACATGGGCTACTACAGAACCGCAGTCGCCGAAGAGAACTGGGTCGCTAGGTGGTACCTTTGGCATAGCTTTCGATACAGGTATGTCGGTCAAGAACAGCTTCTGGATGGACGGCAATGCTCATGGCTTTTGTAGGGACAACAGACCAAGAGAAAGGCATGCAAGCAGCAGCAATAGTCCAGGCCGAGCCGGTAAGTCCCCCAGCTTGAATTTGACGCATCGAACAATTCCAGTGCTTCTGTCTCTGTGTTCTCACTGACGAGCCATAGGAACACAACCGTATTACGATCCAGCACGCGACCATTTCCGGCGATGAACGCCAATACCGTCTCAATCTTGTACGAATCGACATGAGCGATCCATCCTCGTCCCTTTATATGTTTCCGCAACGGCACCTTTCTTTGTAAATGTCAGGAAATGCCCGTGTTGCCGTGCTATCTTCTTTCTTGTCTTCTCTCATCTTACACTAGCGGCCATTGTTTGTTCCTTCTCTTTCATTTGTCTCTCAATATCTGGCACATTTCCTTCGCCGTGGATTCATGGTCATGTCAATGGACCCTCTTGCTGTATGTTTATCGGTGGTGTGTTTGGCTGCGGTCGCTCGCTCTGGAAGGAACCATCCTCTCTAATGCTTCTTACGTAATATTGACTCACACGTCCTCTCCATGGCCGTGACTTTGACTGCTCCCCCCATACTCTACCAATACCATGACAGGCGTGGTGGGAATAAGCTTCTCGAGGAAGATGGTTGAGCGACGCGTTAAGTGGGGCGAAATCCCCGACTAGGGGCCTAGGAAGTGCCGAAGTCCTCCGAACTGGCAGGTGTCGATAATCTACTTTGGAAGGCACGATGGATGGTCGGAGCTCGAAACCTGGTGCTAGAGGTGCCGTGCTAGAGCCAGCAAGGCGTATTGAATCTTGGATACGACATGTTCAGTCATGAGGGATGGTGTCCAGCACGACAAGCTTTTGGCATTCTTGCAAGCATGTTACAACAATGAATGCATCTGGGGCTTTCCGCTTCACTTCACTCAGCCCCACCAATCCGATGTCACCATGCACATCAATCGGCGCTACAGTATTGCACACAAGGAGTTGCTAGCAGGTAGATTACAGCATCACCAAGGTTTTTGCATTTTTTGATATATTACACTGAAGAGGTGGTTGACCGAATTGGGAACACGCAAACATGATGCGCTGTCCACCCTTTCATAACGATATCCAATTGCCTATCTTATCTCTATACTGCTTATATCCCCTAACTCCTTTCGCTATGCAAAATCATGGAGAACATCGTCCCCGTAAGAGAATGCGCCCAGCAAGCCAGCTCAAGTCGTTCCATTTGACGAAGCACGGGCTACTTGCTCTTTGAGTGCTTTTTGGTACTGACTGCGCGCGGCCTCGATCGCTCGGAGTAAAGGATCCACAATCTTATTGACGGCCTTTGCTCCTCCTCTAATGGCCTCCGGGTCGAACTTTCGCTTCTTTCTTTCTCGTTGGTTGGAATACTCATTTTCTCTCCTGGCCTGCTCGACCCTAGCTACCCGCTCTGCTTCGGCCATGTCAGCAACGGCCTTGATGCGATCAAGCGACTTGTCGAGTGTTTCAATCAGCCTGGCAACCTCATTTGCGCGGTCGGGGTCTCCCGAGTAGAAGACAGCCCAGAAGTAATGCAAGAATTCGACCGTGGTATTGTGGGTCATGGTGAGATTGTCAAGAACAGCCTCGGACAAGTGTAGTTCTCTCGCTCGCTCGCTCGTGGCAGTGGACTTTGAGGACGACAAGTCATCGTTATGCAGGCGTCGTTTCTTGAGAGCTGCCATGACTTGCGAAGAAGCTGCTTTGCGTGACGATTTACTGCCAACTTTTGCCTTTCTAGGAGCAGAGCCCTCCTCATCACTACTACTTTGATCATTGATTTCAATGACAGAGTGGAGATCCACTTTCGAAGTTTGACCAGTGTTCCCCTCAAACCTGCCAAGGTCTCGTTGTAGAGTAGACAGTGCTTGCGCCGGAGTTCGCTTGGTGTACGTCGCAGCGCTAGTCGACGCATGCACACTTTGTCCAGCTGAGAAGAAGCGGCTTTGATCATGCACTTTGAGCACAACCCTGTTATCGTCGTCTGCAAGCTGTAGGTCACGCAATTGCAACTCTTTGTATGTTTCCTCATCGACTCCGGCTGGTCCATGGGGATTTGCATCCGAAGGCGGCACTTCCTTCATCATTTTCTCGCTCATGCGATTCAGGACTCGGAGGATTGGCGCTTTTTCGTAATGAGCCGGATTCATGGTGAAGTCGGGCCGGTTGCCCTGCTTCTGGCTGTGATTGTTCTCGTTTGCCTCGATATTGATGAAGTGTGGTATCGAGGCAGCAAGCAGATCCTGATAGCTATCTGCCGTTTCGTCGTAGCTTAGGTATTTGTCCAGTTTCGGGTCAAGCACGTCTTTTTCTTGGATGCGCTCGCCCTTGAGTTTCTTCATCAAGCGGCTGTGGAAGAATCTTTCCCAAAAGTCGCCTTCGGTCAGTGGGGGGACGTTTTCGTTGTATGCTTTCAGGACTATGGGGTGCTGCCTGAAGAGGAGCTCGATTTGCTCTTTTGTCAAGTTGAGCATCAGAGTGCCGTTGACCGACTTTGACTTTATGACCGACAGCACGTTGTAGGTACCCGTGGCCTGAGACCTCTCTGTCGCGTGCGACCTCAGCATATGCACCCGAGTCGACCAAAATTGCATGGAGAATTGCAAGACGGAGACGGAGTCGGGTTTCTCGAGGAGAGCGCGGTCGAAGCGCTGGCGAAGCGCCGGGCTTGAGTTCAGCAGCGACATTTGCAGCGCTGTATCGGCAAGCAGCTTTGCATCGTCGTAAGTCTCTTCGTTGCTTTTGCCCGCGGCTGCTACTGTTTGGGCCATGGCCATGGCAGCAGATGCGCCGCCGCCCTGGCTGCCATCAGCCTTGGGCGCAGCAGGTGCTGGCGAAGGCGCGGCTTGTTGCTTGGAGCTTTCAATCCATTTGCGCAGCGTGCTGGTTATGGTTTGCTGGTCGTCGCGAGCGGCGGCGGAGGTGAAGGTGAGGGTGTGGTTGCCAGCTTGCGGCGACGGCTCCTTGACGACAATCTTGATCGAGGCTTTGGCGGCAGTGACGGGAGTTTGCTGCAGATCTGGGTACAGGTCAGCGGCCTGGAGGGTTTGTTTGGCGAGGCGCAGGCGTAGGCTTACTTGCAATGTCTGCAATGGCTATGGACAGCGGAGGAAGCGCGCCGGTGGCAGACGTCCAGGCGACCGTTTTGCCATTGTCAGAAATGGAGACGGTGCCGTCCTGCTTCTTGTACTGAGCGGCGGCGTCGACCATGGCGGTAGGAGGGGCGGCGGCGGAGGTGAATGAGGCTCATCCACGGTCCTTGTCCGTCTGACGCGGCTCAAGTACGCTAGTCTGGTTTAGGCTTCCCCAGATTCACGCGTGGCACGTGATCACGCATCAGCGGCCTGTCCCTACACACGCCTAGGGCTGCTTTTGCCCTACGCCGCACGCGTCTATGCCGTACTTAGTGTGATGGCGCTGCTGCAGCATTCCGGCCGCCAGCCAGCATGTACGGAGCGGGACGGAGCTGACAAGGGCGATGCCGGCGGAGGATCTCGTTTCCTGTCCTCGCTATGCAGCGCTGGCCAAGCAGAGCATTGCAGCCACAGCGGAGAAGGAGGTCAAGAGGCAGTGCCCGAGGGGAGCACATGGCCATGGCAGCGTGTAAGCCAAGCCGTTTGACGCACTCCTGGCGCAGCGGATACATATCCGGCCCACACGACCAGTGCTGCAGCCGTATTACATAAGACGCCGCCTGCCATTGGCTGCTGCCGCGAGTGCCGTGTGTCCCCATGGCCATTCGCCTTGCCGTGGCCAATATTGCGGGCAGCAAACACACAGGACGCCGCAGAGGCACGCGGGCAGACAGTCGTGCGGGCTGCAACACCACGAATGGCAGCGCAGCACTGCAGCTTCGCAGCTAGACAGGCACACTTGGCCCAGACAGCGGGTGTTTGAGGCATTTGACGTTGAGGCCTTTCCCGGGCGCTGCAGCGTGCCCTCCTCGATGCACAGGGCACTAGTGCGGAACACGGGGCCCTACCCATGTGCCCTGGCCATGGCGGCTTGCTCACTTTGTACGGCACACTGCCTCCACAGAAGCTCTCTTCTGTCCCCATTGTCTGCTTGGATGACACGCCTCCCCTCCCTCGCTCTGACATCCTAATCCACCATGTTGCGCAACACTCTGCGCCAGTGCTCTCGCCAGCTGCCGAGCGCCTCAGCGCGAGCATCCTTCACCTCGCTCGCACAGCCCTCGAGAACTGCCATTTCGACATGTCGCCGCCCGCTTGCGCTTGCGCAGCGTCGCCAGTATGCCGTCTCGTCCGAGGAGACCAGCAAAGGCGTTGTGCGTGGTGCTCCAACTGCCGCTTCAAAATCTTCGGTCATGGCTAACTATGACGGCATAGGACCCCAACGACTCGTTCCTCCAGGGCAACACAGCCAACTACATTGATGCCATGTACATGCAATGGAAGCATGACCCCCAGAGCGTCCACTACTCATGGCAGGTCTACTTCCAGAACATGGAGCATGGCGACATGCCCGTGTCGCAAGCCTTCCAGCCGCCGCCCACCATCATGAGCTCGCCCCAGGGTGCCGCCGTCCGGCCGGGAATGGGCATGGCCGCGGCCGAGGGCACAGAGATCATGAACCATCTCAAGGTCCAGCTGCTCGTGCGCGCGTACCAGGCCCGAGGCCACCACAAGGCCAAGATTGACCCGCTGGGCATTCGCTCAGAGGCCGAGTCTTTTGGCTACAACAAGCCCCGCGAGCTCGAGCTGTCGCACTACAACTTCACGGACAAGGACCTGGAGCAGGAGATCGAGCTCGGCCCGGGTATCCTGCCGCGCTTCAGGACCGAGAGCCGCAAGAAGATGAAGCTCAAGGAGATCATTGATGCCTGCGAGCGTCTGTACTGCGGCTCGTACGGAATTGAATACATCCACATCCCAGACAGGGAGCAGTGCGACTGGCTGCGTGAGCGAATCGAGGTGCCCACGCCCTTCAAGTACTCTGTCGATGAGAAGCGCCGCATCCTGGACCGCCTCATCTGGGGTACCAACTTTGAGGCCTTCCTGGCCACAAAGTACCCCAACGACAAGCGATTCGGTCTTGAGGGTGGTGAGAGTTTGATTCCCGGAATGAAGGCCCTGATTGACCGAAGCGTCGACTTTGGCGTCAAGGACATTGTCATTGGCATGCCTCACCGTGGTCGCCTCAACGTGCTCTCCAACGTTGTCAGGAAGCCCAACGAGTCTATTTTTAGTGAGTTTGCCGGTACTGCTGAGGCCAGCGAAGAGGGTTCGGGTGACGTCAAGTACCACTTGGGTATGAACTTTGAGCGCCCCACGCCTTCTGGAAAGCGCGTGCAGCTCTCTCTTGTCGCCAACCCGTCCCATCTTGAGGCTGAGGACCCAGTTGTACTCGGAAAGACTCGCGCTATTCTGCACTACAACAACGACGAGAAGGATGCCGCCAGTGCCATGGGTGTTCTTCTGCACGGTGATGCCGCTTTTGCTGCGCAGGGCGTTGTGTATGAAACCATGGGCTTCCACCAGCTGCCCAGCTACCACACTGGCGGAACCATCCACATTGTTGTCAACAACCAGATTGGTTTCACCACTGACCCCAGGTTTTCGCGTTCTACCCCCTACTGCTCTGACATTGCCAAGGCGATTGATGCACCTGTGTTCCACGTCAACAGCGATGATGTCGAGGCTGTCAACTTTGTTTGCCAGCTTGCCGCCGACTTCCGCGCCGAGTTCAAGAAGGACGTAGTCATCGACATGGTTTGCTACAGGAAACAGGGACACAACGAAACCGACCAGCCCTTCTTCACCCAGCCCCTCATGTACAAGAAGATCTCGCAACAACCACCGACATTGGACATCTACACCAAGAAGCTCCTCGAAGAAAAGACCTTCACCAAGGAGGACATTGACGAGCACAAGGCCTGGGTCTGGGGCATGCTGGACGAGAGCTTCAGCCGCAGCAAAGACTATGTTCCCAACTCGCGAGAATGGCTCACCTCGGCATGGAACGGCTTCAAGACACCCAAGGAGCTCGCCACCGAGGTGCTCCCTCATCTGCCAACTGCCATTGAGGAGGATCAGCTGAAGCACATTGCCAAAGTCATTGGCGAAGCACCAGAGGACTTTAACGTACACAAGAACTTGAAGCGTATCTTGGCCGGCCGCACCAAGACCGTTATGGACGGCCAGAACATTGACATGGCGACGGCAGAAGCACTTGCGTTTGGAAGTCTCTGCATGGAAGGCCACCATGTCCGCGTTTCTGGACAGGATGTGGAGCGTGGAACCTTTTCTCAGCGTCACGCTGTGCTCCACGACCAGGAGACGGAGAAGACGTACACGCCTCTACAGAACCTCAGCCAGGACCAAGCAACCTTTACCATTTCCAACTCTTCCCTCAGTGAATACGGAGTGTAAGTGGCGACAATGTTCTGGTGATGGATACAGTAAGCTAATTGATATTAGGCTCGGTTTTGAGTACGGATACTCGCTATCGTCGCCCAACGCGCTCGTCATGTGGGAGGCTCAGTTTGGTGACTTTGCCAACACGGCTCAGGTCATCATCGACCAGTTCATTGCTTCGGGTGAAGTCAAGTGGCTCCAGCGTTCCGGTCTCGTCATGAGCTTGCCGCACGGTTACGATGGTCAGGGCCCTGAACATTCTTCGGGACGCCTGGAGCGCTACCTGCAGCTGTGCAACGAGGACCCGCGCATCTTCCCATCGCCAGAGAAGCTTGAGCGCCAGCACCAGGACTGCAACATGCAGATTGCCTACACGACCAAGCCCTCTAACCTGTTCCACCTTCTCCGTCGCCAGATGAACCGTCAGTTCCGCAAGCCGCTCATCTTGTTCTTCTCCAAGTCGCTGCTTCGCCACCCGATTGCACGCTCGAGCATTGATGAGTTCACGGGAGACTCGCACTTCCAGTGGATCATCGAGGACCCGGCGCACGCCAGCGGAGAGATTGAATCACACGAGGGCATCAACCGCGTCATCATCTGCACGGGCCAGGTGTACGCGGCGCTGGTCAAGGAGCGCGAGGCTCGTGGCGAGAGGGACGTTGCGATTACGCGCATTGAGCAGCTCAACCCCTTCCCCTGGCAGCAGCTCAAGAACAACCTCGACTCGTACCCCAACGCACAGAACATCATCTGGTGTCAAGAGGAGCCGCTCAATGCGGGTGCTTGGAGCTTCACACAGCCCAGGATCGAGACTCTGCTCAACGAGACGCAGCACCACAACAGGCGGCACGTCATGTACGCGGGACGCAACCCCAGTGCGTCTGTGGCGACTGGACTCAAGACGTCGCATAAGAACGAGGAGAAGGCGCTGCTGGACATGGCTTTCACGGTCAAGCAGGACAAGCTGAAGAGCGAGTAGACATGGGCTTAGACGTGTAGGAGAGCTTCGGATCACGGTTTGGTTGCATTGGTTGATTCCCCTTCGTGCGATGTCGTGGAGTCGAGTGAAGCGGATGGAGGCCTAGGCAGCCTGGGCCGTGGAGGATTGTTTCTGTCGGGCATATTGTTTTCATCGCTACGAGTGTAGGTTTACCACATGTAGTATTAAAAGCGGGGTTTCTTACGTTGTGGTTATGTATGACCATGGGCTGGACGGCGTGCGGGAATATCGCAGCGTCACGTGGCGGGCGCGAGGCCATGTTCAAGTCCGCGGCTCGGAAAATGTCGGGACGACGTCAGAGTGGGCGGGACAGCGGGCGAACCCCACTAAACCCGCTGCGGCGCCGACCCCTCGCCCCTCGTCGCTGGCCCCTCCACTTTTGCGCCTCCGCACATGCATCATAGCTGCGTACCACGCGCTCCCGCTCTCAAGCGCGTCCATGGCCGTCGTCGCCCGCCTTCGCCCGCCCGCGACGGCCGCCCGCTCTCGTCGACACTGGCCAGACCGTCTCGTGTCCTTCCTCGGTCTTCCTTCGGTCCCCAGACGCTGGCCCACGCGACTGGACAAGTATCGTGAAGGTGCTTGTGATGCCCGATGACTTGCCGAGGGCTGGCTACGGCTCGCTGGCTCGCCAAACAAATGCCATACAAGTGTGGTCCGCCTGTCCGACTCTACCCACCCTGACTTCATAACAAAACCTCAGTTCCGCTTTTCGCTTCAGTTGGGCCTGACAGCTTTTCACCATCCTCCCCTCAACTTGTCCATTCCCCATATCCGTCTTTCCCATTTCCCCAAGTTTTTCCGGTACAGCTTTGCTCACCATCTTGGAGCATTACCCCACCACCCTGAATAGCAGCATATCACACACACATATACCCACAATGGCTTCCAACGGCGAGGGCGGTGCTGGTGAGAAGATCAACACCGACATCATCACTCTCACACGATTCCTTACCGAGGAACAAACAAAGGTCAAGGAAGCGACCGGAGACTTCACGTGCGTCAATTCACCACATGGGTTTTTTGGCCCCGGAAAAAACTAACAGTATCCCCTATAGATTGCTATGCCACGCTCTCCAATTCGCCTTTAAGAGTATTTCCTACTACATCCGGAGAGCGACATTGATCAACGTAGGCACCTTTGCCCACACTCTACAATGACCAGAAAAAGACTAATCCGAGCAGCTCACGGGTCTCCAAGGCACATCCAACACGACGGGCGACGACCAGAAGAAGCTCGACGTAATTGGCGATGAGCTCTTCATCAGCGCCATGCGGTCGTCTGGTCGCGTGCGCCTCCTCATTTCCGAAGAGCAAGAAGAAGCCATCGTTTTCCACGAGCACCCCAACGCCCGCTACGCCGTCGCCTGCGATCCCATTGACGGATCGTCCAACCTCGACGCCGGAGTGTCGGTCGGCACCATTTTCGCCGTTTACAAGCTACCCGAGGACTCCAAGGGCACAAAGGAGGAGCTTCTGCTCCCGGGCACCGAGATGGTGGCCTCGGGCTTCACCATGTACGGCGCGTCTGCCCAATTGGTCATCACCATGAAGGGCGGCAACGTCAACGGCTTCACGCTCGACAACGCCTTTGGCGAGTTCATCCTCACACACCCCAACATGCGCGTCCCCAAATCAAGGTCAATCTACTCGGTCAACGAGGGAAACAGCTTGTACTGGGAGCAGCCCGTCAAGGACTGGTGCGAGAGCTTGAAGAACCCCGCTGAGGGCGGAAAGCCCTACAGCGCACGATACATTGGCTCCATGGTCGCAGACGCTTACCGAACACTGCTGTACGGAGGCATCTTTGCTTACCCCGCTGACAAGAAGTCTCCCAAGGGCAAACTTCGTATTCTGTACGAGTGTGCTCCAATGGCCATGGTTTTTGAGAATGGTACGCTCCCCCTATATATATGTATATATATATATATATATATATTGCTCCTCTTTCCTATTTTTTTTATTATATATGTACAGGATGCTAACGCACAATGCAGCTGGCGGTATGGCTGTAAACAGCAAGATGCAGCGTATGCTCGAAGTGGTGCCCGAGCACATTCACGACCGATCGGGTATCTTCCTGGGCTCGGAAGGCGAGGTGCAAAAGGTCATTGATGCACACAAGAAGTACCAACAGTAGGCGAGTGAGTGCTACCAATGTTCAAAAGTAAGTCTTGGATTGTAATGCAGACGGCTATGCGAAAGCTTAGGATTGTACTTGTGCAATGTAACAACGTACGTAGCAGTAATTCTATGATTGTTCGATGCCCACGTACTGCTTTGTGTGATGAGAAAGAGACTCCAAGCTGTGTCCGTCTCCTTTGCACACCCATAAATCAAATGTCAGTCAGTCAACATCAAGTTTCACCTCAAGACACATGGACTGTATGAGCAAGATGCTTGCAAGATCTATTCGGGTATAAGGTATTATTCCTTAAGATCTTACCCCACCACTCATAACACACACACCATCTCCCTTTGAGCTATCCAGTCTGTACCGTACATGGTATCGAACACTCGTTAAACACTGTCCACATCCACCATAACATCCACCCCGTTTCCACCATCCATAACCACATTCTCATTGCGAATCAGAGACTCCAAAAATCCCCGAACGTTGAAAGCCAGCCCAGCCGTCGTGGGAGCCGGGCTCATGAGGTATCAAACTGCTTGCGCGAACAAAGTCCCACCACACATCCACACCGATGTCATGTCGTCGGAGACAGAGTGCCGTCTATCATACATAAGGAGAATAACCCGGAAAAAAAAGAAGAAGGGGGGGTAGAAGATCATGCAGAGGTAAATCGCCCACAAGCTCGTGAATGTTGAGTTTGGGCGATGCTGTTGATGACGTCCGACATTCCAATCAAGGAGTCAGTCGTCAGAAGAGGTATCGTAGTCGACTTACCTCGAGTTTCAAGATAAGCCGACAATGTAAAAGGGGACATCGAATCGTAAGGAACTTTTGGGGTACAATCGGTCATGAAAGCCATCCCGTGTCGTGAGAAAACCATTACCCATGCGCCGTTCGCCGTTCAAGGAAATCATGCGACCATCATAACTTGCTGCCGTTCGAGAGAATCGAGGACCGAACCCTACTCGTAGGCAACTAGAAAGAGGTTTAAGCCTTCTCCTCTTTGGACTCTTCCTTGGGGGCTTCCTTCTCAGGCTCACCCTCTTTGTTCTTGACGTATTCGTCATAGACGCTCATAGCCTCGTCAACCTTGGCGCGCAGGGCAGCCTCGTCCGAAGTGCTAGGTACGTTAGTATGACAGACAGTTGAAAGACGGGTAAGGGGATACGTACAGGTTGATCAGCTCACTGTTGTCCATCTCGAGAAGCATACCGGTGATCTTGCCAGCAAGCTCGGGCTGCATCTCAGCAATCTTGGGGTAGAGAGCCTCACCGAGCATTTGCTTCTGCTGACCGGGAGCAGCACCGCTCAGAGCGCTCATGTCGACACCAGCGCCAGCGGGACCGCCGCGTCCGCCCTGAGGATAGCCGGGCATGGGAGACTGACCAGGTCGGCCGCCCTGGGGCATGCCGCCGCGACCAGCACCCTGAGGAGGGAAGCCCTGACCGCCGCGCATACCAGGACCGCCAGCCATGGGGACCTGAGGCATACCGGGCATAGGAGCCATGGGAACACCGCCACGGCCACCACGTCCACCCATGGCCTGCTGTGCGGCCTGTGCCAGTTGCATGTACTGCTGGTTCATGTAAGGAGGGAAAGCACCAGGAGCCATGCCGGGTGGCATGTACATAGGAGGCATCTGCTGGCCGTTGGGACCGCCGCGACCACCTTGCTGGCCAGGCATGCCAGCGGGGAAGCCAGCGCCACGGCCACCTTGTTGGCCGGGCATACCGGCAGGGAAGGGCATCTGACCACGGCCGCCAGCGGGGAACATCATGGGCTGCTGGCCAGGTGCGATGAACATCTGAGGAATACCACCAAACTGCTGCTGCTGTTGCTGCTGCATGCGGAGCTGGTTGCGAGCCTGGATAGTAGCCTCGAGCTGGTTCTTGCGAACATCCTTGCGCTGGGCAAGGGCGACGTAAAGGGGCTTGCCCTCAATCATCTTCTGGTTCATCTCGGTGACGGCCTTGGTAGCCTCATCGGGGTTGCTGAAGCAGACGAAACCGAAGCCCTTGCTCTTACCGAGAATCTTCTTCTCACCCTTGATGGTCACCTTCTCGCCGGGCTTGTTCTCGCCCTTGTCGTCAGAGCCGTCCTTGGACTCTTCGGCATTCTCGGCATCCTTGGACTCCTCCTTGGACTCCTCCTTCTTCTCGTCGGCAGGGGTCTCGGAGCGCTCAGCGGGCATGGCATCGCGCATGACCTTGGCGGAGGTGATGGTACCGAAAGGAGTGAACATGTCGCGCAGCTTCTCGTCGTCGACATCGTCGTTGAGGTTCTTGATGTACAGGTTGACACCCTGGTACTTGGACTGCTTCTCGAGACGAGCAGCCTCGTACTGCTTGCGCAGCTCCTCCTCACGCTCATGCTTCTTTTGCGCGCGGCCGACATAGAGCTTCTGACCACGGAAGTCGGTGTCGTTGAGGGCGTCGACGGCGGCAGAAGCAGCCTCGTGCTTGATGTAGTTGACAAAACCGAACCCGCGGCTCTTGCCCTGCTCGTCGCGAGCAATGGAGGCAGATGTGATGTCACCGTGCTTCTCAAAGAGCTCACGGAACTCCTCGTCAGAGACGTCGAGGTCAATGTTCTTGACGTAGATGTTGGTGAAGTTGGCCTTCATCTCCTCGAACTTACTCATGCGCTCCTTCTTGGGGATGTGGTGGCCGACAAAAACCTTCTTCTCGTTCAGCAACATGCCGTTGACGTGCTTGATGGCGTTGTTAGCGGCCTCGGCAGTCTCGTAGTGTACGAATCCATAGCCCTTTGAGTTGCCGAGCTCGTCCTGAGCAACCTTGCAGCTGAGAATGTTACCAAAAGCGGCAAACGTGTCGTGGAGCGCCTTGTTGTCGATAGCGTGGTCCAGGTTCTTGATGAAGACGTTGCCCTGGCCAGTCTTGCGCAGAGCGGGGTCGCGCTGAGACCACATGATGCGGCACGGCTTGCCCTTGATAACAGTGTAGTTCAACTCCTCGAGGGCCTTCTCGCCGTCCTCAGAGCTGTTGTAGTTAACATAGGCGTAACCGAGCGAGCGACGGGTAACAGCGTCACGGCAGACACGGATGGAAGCGACTTGGCCAATGGAGGAGAACAGCTCGAAGAGCATGGCCTCGGTGACGGAGGGGTCGAGTTCTCCGACATAGAGCGAGGCCGAGTTCTGGTTGTGGGCGGGGGCGGCAGAGGTGGGCGTGGGGGCTTCGCCCTGAGCAGCAGCGACGTTGGTGTTGATTTGAGCGCCGTTGGCGTCAGCACCGTCCTGGACGGGTGTGGTCGAGTTTGCGACTTCAGACATGGTGTCTATCTGCAGGGCGGGGTGTTAGTCGAGAGGGGGGGTTGTGAGCCTGAATATTGCGGGCGGGCACAGGCGCAACCTTGGGCGGGTGGGCTCGCTTCGCCAAAAAGTTTCTCGGACACTCACCTAAACCTTCCTAGAAACGCAACAGGAGATGTGCGGGGTAACAGAGGCAGGCAGAGCGGTCCAAGAGCACGAGGGGCTGCGGACGCACTGATACCTTCTTCTGGCGAAAAAGGTGGGATCAAGCAAAGAGGTCTGTCGGGTGCAAAGCGACAGGGAAAAGACGAAGAAGTTGGCGGGGAGGGGTCGTCGTCGGACGGGCTTTTCTTGTTGTTTTCTGTATTTTTTTGTTTCTTTTTGTGTTATGAACGGTCCACTGGGAACCGAGGCTGGGAGAGCTGGTGAGTGCTGTTGGGGTGGGTAAGCGTTTGAGGTGAGAGACACAACGAGGTCGTCAGTCTTTATGGGCAGGTGTGTGCGGCGTTTTTTTGGCGGGCCCGTGCGCCGCCGGCTAGCCGGTTCAGGGCAGCGCGGTCAAGGCGGTGAATGAAAGAGCCCTGCGATAAGACGGACAATCAAGATGAAAGGGCAGACAACGACGTGATGGCCACGAGATGCTAGATGGTGAGGTCAAGAATGATTGCCGACATGGCATCTATCCCAGCGAGCATCTATCGCAGACCTGCATAAAAATTATCATCACAGCGAGCCCTGTACATCACATGTCAGATACGTGCCCCGGCAAAGAAGTGACATGGTAGATGACAGGTAAGCACCGTGGCATGTGTGCCATGCAGGTGGCTATACGGAAAAGGGGAAGTAGGCACTTCGCGTACCTTTTGGAGGGGGGCATGCACAGCAGAGTATTACACGGCGGGTAGTACGATGAGGGGTACTCCCTGTCGACCAGATACCCTGGTGTAGCAGGCATCCACGAACTGCAGAACGAGGCACAGCATACATGCACCATGCACACCAGTTGAAGAACGATATTGTCAGACGGCAGCAATCACGCCGCCCAACCTTATCCATGTCATAGCCAGAACGCTGCCGAATAGTACTCCTAGTAACCAACGGCTGCCCAAACACATATTTCAAACGGGTATCGCTACTGTACGTAAATGCGGAAAAGTCGCCCAGTCATATCATATACCAAATATCCATGTACGCCAATCACTCCCGTAAACTGTCATCCCAACCCCCTTGCTCAGTGAGGTGGTCTTCCACGCGTCGTTTGCAGTCTTCCAAGCCCTGTCCCAGCGCCTCATTCCACTGGCTCTCCACCAGTCCGACCTTCTCCTTGAGATCGTCGGTCAATCGTCTTTCCTCATCAGCCCGAATGGCTTTCATTTCTTGATTCACTCCGGCTAAATCTTCGCCCTCGAGCAGTCTCTGCGTCTCAAGGAGCCGTGATCCAGCCGTCATGACTCCCGTCTTGACTTCGTGCAACAGACACAACAAGTTGATCTGCGACTCGATAAACTGATACGCAGAACGACCAGCGTGCGCCAAGAGAGTGTATAGATACTGCAGTGGGTAGTCGTGGTATGCTGGTGTCTCCTCGTACTCTTGTGGTGGCACCAGGACCCCGAAGCCGTGAAGGACTCGAGGCACCTGCTGAACAATTTCAAGTAGTCCGGGCGCGATGTCCCAGAATGCAGACAGCTGAGCCTCGACTCCTCGGGTAACGTTTTGCTCGATGATGTTCATAAAGTCTTCGTATCGCTTGAGCGTCTCCTTCTCAAACGTAACTTTGCGATCCTGTCCATCCCGCTGGAAGAAGGTTGTCGCTTCCTTCACCTTTTGTTCATTATTGGTCTGAACATAGGGCAAGACAATAATGTCTCGGTAGAGGTCGTTGCGCTCGTCCTCGAGCTCAAACATCTCCTTGTGTAATTGTTCCCGCGCCTCGAAAAGCCACTTCAGCAAAGTAAGCATTTCAAGAAGCTCGGGTTTCTCGTCGCCCTCTTCTTGCGTCTGGTTAGGATTTGGTTCCTGTGCCTCGCTAGTCAAACGTCCTTTGAGGTGCTCCATGGATGCTGTAGCCTTTGTAATGCGCTCACAAAACATAGCATGGAGTGGATTCGCCACTTCGGCCTGGAACGTGTCGAATATCCATTGGACTACATCTTGCGCCCTTTGATGCTCGCGGCCTTCAAAATCTGCCTCGACCTTGGCTGCATCCGCAAACGTCATGACGCCGTTGCGGACATTATCCTGTATGTTGTATCTGAGTTGCGCGCGTCGATCAGACAAAGACACATTCTCCTGCTCCTTTCGTGCCTCAATCTTCGTATTGAACTTTGCCTTTGTACCCTTAACTTCATCAAGCTCCGACAGGGTTCGCAAGCTGCTTCGGATACTGGCCAGGTCGGGGTGGCTATTGTTAACTGCGGGATGATGTCGCGGGTAGGGTGGCGGGAGTGTGACAAGTCTCGAGACATCTAGTTTGTCCGGGTCAGGTGTTGCTGTGGCAGACCTGGGGTAGTAACCATAACCGGGCTGTTGCAGCGGCTGCTGGCTGTCTTCGTGTAGGCCAACCTTCTCTGGAGGGTATTCGTTGGGTCCGTACGCTGGTCGACTACTGGATTCGCCTCGCTGGCTTGGCATGTTCATGTTCTCGCCTGCCCACTGCAGGTTTTCACGAGCTTCTTTGGGCAGGCTCATGTACTTGGACTCCCTCTTGCTCCGCTCGAGCCTTCTACCACCACCCACTCCTGACGACCCACCATCGCTCTCCCACCAGCGACTGGCAGACCGGCCTCTAGAATCCTGCTCATCGGGAATGGTACTCATCGCCATGCTGGGGATAGGCGAGAGCGAAGGATGGTAGTTGTTGGCCCAAGATACATCCCGAGCTTTCTGGCTAGAGGCACTAGAGGGAGATGCAGGTTCTGTGTGCGGGGTGAAGTTGCCAGTAGATGATGCGGGGCTGGCAGCAGTTGTTGGCATCGAGTTGGAGAAGCGTGTATCAGGAGATTCGCCTGCGACGGAGCCTTGAGACCTTTTGCTAGCATGTCCAGCAGGTGTATTTTGCGTGTTTGGCGTAACCGATCTGCGCCCCGAATTGCCATAGGAGCGCCACATATCCCTCGTCAAATCCATAATGTCGCCGGCCATGGCATCGAAGGCTCCAGAGTAGCGATCCCGGCGGAGTCGAGATTCAGTCACAATAAACTCTGCAAACAACTCGAGTCTGTCCTGGTCTGTCTCGGCGGCCATTTCCTTTTCAATAAATTGTCGATGGCGCTCCATGGCAGCACGAGCGAAAGAATGAGTACCTGCTGGTCTTGGCGTAGTCACTGCGGAATCATGGCCCCCGACACGCGAGCCGCTTGGAGTATTCATGACCGATTCACTGGCAGCTTCTGATTGATGGGTCAGGCCTGCATCTCTCTCGTCGCCATAGGGATGGAGTGGTGGGGTAGGCAGTGCCTTTGAAGGGAACGGGGCTGGAGCTTTCTGGGCTGAACGACTGAGATGTTCCATACCTGGCGAAAACGGTGGTGTTGGGGCACTCGCAGGCAGGGCTTTTGACGGCGCATCGACTCGAGGCGTAGAGTTTGTTGAACCAGAATCTTCAAAAAGACTGCCACTTCTTGGTGACTTGAGGGCTCCAGCGCTCCTAGGAGTGCTTCTGGTTACTGCACCACGACGGGTCAAGCCACCTTCGGGCGTTCCCAAGTCAAGATTGGCGGGCTTTGCAGCTTCAGCACCCAAGTCTTGCGCCCATGGATTGTTGTTTGGTTCTGCTCGCTGTTCGCGAGCCGCTCGGCTCTCACTCCTTCGCTCGCGGATCCCTCGTGTACTAGCGTCGTGTCTTTTTGGAGTGCTGTACAGGGTACTGCCCGAGCCTGATGTTGGACCAGAAGAGATTGAGATGTTTTCGCTCTCTGATGGTGGGGGTTGTTCGGAAGAGCGGACGGAAGGGTGACTCGTGTCAATGTATAGACCATGAGCTGTTGGAGACCTTGGGCGCACATTTGCAGACTCATCCTGCCAACCCATGGGTGTTGGTGGAATCGGCGTCAGTGTCGTTTGGCCGGGTCTTCTTGTTGGGGGTGCTGAAGGCAGAATGGGCACTCGGCTGGAGCTCGCCTCTGCCCCAGGTCCCATGCTCTGCGATCTCGAACTGCTAGGAGGGGGGCCAGGCGGGGGCGGGGGTAAGGGCACATTACGGTTCCAGCTTCCTGACGGGACGATGGGGGATTCGTCAATTGGTGTGCGAGTTTCGTAGCCTGGTACGCCAGCAGAAGCCGCCCTTCGAGAGGTAGGCGGTCTGACGGGGGAATGCGTGTCGGGACTGTACCGTCGCTCCACAAATGCGTTTGTCATGTAGCTACCCCAATGTAAGTCTAGGCAATGCATAATCTCGTCTAACCATGGGCGTACCTCGAAGCAGCTCGCTGGGCAACCAGCCCGGGAGAAGCCGGTGCTCTCTGGATTGCATCAGAAGTACTAATGTGAAGCGCGTCAATGTTGCTCGGCGCAGGGCTGTGGTCACTGTTGCGATTCCGAAATGACGAAAGACTGAATTTCGAGGTCAATTTGTCGCGCGACACGGACCGGCCTGTGCCGTTTCTTCCTGGAGGCGGCGGAAACTGTTGGTTCGATGTTATGCTCGTCGCACTCGAGGGTATGACCATGGAGCCAGGGCGGCTGTGGTACCCTGAAACGGGGCGTGCAGATGACGGATTGCTGCTTGGTGGCGGCGGAGGAGGAGGAGGAGGGGGAGGATGCGGGAAGGTGTTTGCAGAGAGCTGCGGCGACGAAGTGTTGCTGGTGCTAATGGACTGCGAAATGTTTGGATTCTGGCCAGGCGAGTAGGGGGGTGGAGGGGAAGGCATCGAAGCTGGCACTGTTAGCATCACACGTCTTCCGGCGTCGACTGTCTCGAGCCATTGGAGCGAGAGGAATGGACGAGAGGAAATGCACAAGACCACAAGATGCTCGGCACAAGATTGGCTCCATGCTTTGGAGGGGAAGAAGCGGAAGAAGACGAGGAAAAAGGAAAAAGTACGTCTACGGATTCTGCTACATAGGGCGGGGGTGCGGGAGCAAGGGAAAACGGCGAGTCTGTACCTTCCATGCCCGTCACATCATGGAGCCTCGAGGGCACCGACAGCTGGTTGTGCTGGACATGGTGTCCACCAACGGGCGTGCCCCGCGACCATTGCTGCGGATTGTAGGGGGCGGCGGGAGCGGCGCCCCTCATGGCCATGGGTGAAGCGGGCGCAACGGGAGAGGGCGCATACGGAGAGGGCGTGAGCGAGGGCGAGAAGGGCAGGCTCAGCGACGAGGCCGTGGCGGGCGTCGAGGCATGCAGATAGGAGGGGGCGGCGGGAGCGGCGCCCCTCATGGCCATGGGTGAAGCGGGCGCAACGGGAGAGGGCGCATACGTCGAGGGCGTGAGCGAGGGCGAGAAGGGCAGGCTCAGCGACGAGGCCGTGGCGGGCGTCGAGGCATGCAGATAGGAGGGGGCGGCGGGCTGGGGCGGGGCCAAGGTGGTGTTGAGCAGCGGCGGCTGGACGGCGAAGCGCCTGGGAGATATCTGGGGCGCGTGGAGGTGCGAGGGATGCGGTGAGGGCGGCGGCGGCGGCAGTCTGGGAGAGGGCGGCGGGGCGGCATGGTGATAGACATGGTCTGAGGCCATAGCGACTAATGGCGCTGGTTAGCTGCGCCCGGCGGAGTCGGTCACCTCTGGCGGGAGGGCGATGGCGGCAGCTCAGGCTCTGGCGGGCAAGGGTGCTGGGTCATGCTGTGTCGAGTGAGTGTTGAGTGAAGATGGGACGCGAGGGCGTCACGGACGGGCGGCGGGCGTCTAGGCCGCAAGCAGTATCGACGGTCGAGGACTGGTCTTGGGCCGGGTCTTGACTTTTGCTTGTCCAGCGAATGGGCGCCGCTTCATGCACTCGACGGCTGCACCATCCCTGTCGGTCGACCGCACGTCGGCGGCTACGCAGAGAACATGGCCTGTTGCGACGGGCTGGCCGTCTGCTGAGACTGCTCCTTCGGGCCGCCGCGCAAGAAGACAGGCAGGATAGTAGTGGCAGCATGCTGTATACTGTACACCTACAGCAGCAGTAAGTAGGCCTGCCGCTAGTCAACACCATGGCTCCCCACACGACGCCACGATATAAATAGCACCCGCCCATCCAACAGCCATGCACATGCACATGTGCATGCAGCCCGCCGCGGCCCACTCGCTCGTGCGAACCCTCACGCTCCAACACCGCAAACTCTCGTCGCCACCCACTTGCTGTCTTGTCGCTGACGCAAATCCCTCGCTTCCATTTATATGTCGGCCATGGCCCCTTGGTGGTCTTGCCGCCCATTACACATGCTGATGCACTCTTCAACCCCCGTCGTCCATGGACGCGCGAGACAGGCTGGCAAATTCCCCTCCGAGGAAACGGTTATTATTACTTGCATAATCCTGACGCCTCTGTATCCACTTCGCTAATCGTGCGCCCGTCTTACTGCAACTCCCACTCCCTCAACATGCATGCTTGCTCCAATCCTCCCACACCACGTGCTGGTTGTGTCTATACCATATGCAATCCATCCTCAGTGCCCTGTAACGCCGCGCTCAAATGCCCAATCCGCAACACCATCATGCCCCGCCTACTTGTCGTCTTTGCCCTTGGGCTCCGCTTCCGCCTCATCCTCGTCATCCTTGCTCCCCTTCTTCTCTTCCTTTCTGCGCCGCTCCTTTCGCAGTGCCTTTTGCACCTTCTCGTCTTTTTCCTCTTGCAGCTCGTCCCACTCAACGTCGTACTCATTGGCAACAGCCTTGATTTCCTTGCGGAGAGCGTTGCCGTCGTCAATCAGCGCCTCCCATTTGCGCACGTCAAAGTTGTGCTGCTGGTAGAGCTTCTGCTGTCGACGGGACACGGTAAAGTTCATCGCTGACCGGTAGCTGACTTCGCGGTTGTGATACAGGAACCACACGTAACCTCCAATCAGCGTGGAAAGGCCAACGAGATACTGCGAGCGTGTTAGCCGTGCACAACAAACACAAACGAAGACAATAGCCCTACCGTTACTGGCTCCATGACATCCCATCCCAGCTCAGTCTGGAACGTCAGGTAGTAGACAACGCACCACCATCCCACAATACCCCCAAAGCCAGCCATGGCCACCCTCTTGGCTGCCGCTTGCGCCAACTCATCACACTCCTTCTTGATGTCCGCCATGGCGCTGATCTTCTTTGATGTCTTGCGCAACCGCATCCGCAGATAGTAAGTTCGATCGTTGAAACTGGGCACACCAACCCGTATCTCTTCTGGTGCGCCTTCAATGTCAATCGCAAACTCTTGTCCTCGCGCGGCATCGCGGATAAAGTCGCCAATCTCCGTCGACGACGACCATCGCACAAACCTGCGCTGTCCCTGCTTGTCTGCCGGAGCTTCGTGGCCTTGGCCAGAGTATGACTCTACTCCTCCTTTTCCAGGTCCTCCTCGAAGCTCTTCTGCTTCTTCGGGCGTTTTCCTGTCCCGGCTGCTCAGCTTGCCCGTCTTGTGAACCTTGCCGTCGATGCGAATCTCATCAACCTGCTCAAAGTCCTCTTCCCCATCCTGCTGCCTCAAGCTCTCCGTTTCGCTGCTCACTGGGGTTTTCTGCGTCTCCTCTGGCGTCGCATCATTTTGTACCGAGTCTTCGGCGCGAAAGTATATATTGGGCTGTCGCTCACGACCTTGCTTGTCCTTGATGGTGGGAAGCTCGGCTTGGATAAGTCGCTCGAGATAGGAAATAGGCTGCTGCGGGTGTACCAGGAGCGCCAATGGCTCCATATCCTTGCGGTCGGTATTTTGGTCCGTGGTCGTGAGTGGGAGAATGATCTTGAGCATTCGCGACGGCGTAGTCAGCAGTTTTCCTGTCCATGTTAGCCATTGGTTTTTGCATGCATCAACAAAAACATGCCCTTGGTCATGGCCCCAGCACTCCTCTGTCGCGCAACAGGTGGCGTATCGCTTCCTTCCCTGTGCCATGGCGTGCGTATCTGCTTGCCCTTGTCTTCCCTAAGCTTCTTTGCAAAGTGCTCCTTCTCTTCCTCTGTAATGTTCTCATTGAGCTCTGCGGCAGGCCTGGCATTGCTGTTGGAGTAGTCGTATTTCTCCTTTGCTATGTCTGAGCGTCGCGGTCTGGTTGTTAGGCTGCGAAGCTGTGAGGAAGTGCCGTGTCGTATCGATGCAATGGGACGACTACGTGCAAGCAGGGGTGCGCAACGGGCGGAAGGGAGCGTCGTGACGCGAGAGAGCGAGGCCAGCGCTGACAGTCCATGTCTCATGATCGCTAAATTGACAGGTTGATGCTACCATCTCGCAGTGTAGACTAGGAGGACGCGAACCGTGTTTCTGCTGTCAACACATGTCATAGCAAGTCTAAGGGAGCTGCACGCGACAAGCAGGGTTACAGAATGACGACCTGACATACGTCATAGCCCATGGTCAAAGTGGCAGTCGCAGTGGCTTGAAACTGTGGCGGTGATGCTCTGCCACATTCCAACTTCGCCAGAGCCTCATCCTCAAGACTTCCGGCTAGCTAACCTCCGAACCCGAATCCTGCAAAGAGCCTGGGTTAGCGTGGTAAGGATCACGGCATTAGTGTGAAGATCCGCACAGAGTCTAAAACTCTTTGCATGTGGATACCAAGAGGCTATTACTACATCTCCGAGGTTTTCGCGAGTGGTTGGGCATGTGGCAAATATTAGGTTTGTTACGGCCAACCTTTTTTTCCGAGATAGCTGTGATGCAAGTCTTGGGCCATGGCAATATCAACGAATGAAACGCCTTGTTCCTGTGTCAAAGCAACGCGCGTCTTACTCTAGATGCAGAAGATGATACAAACTGCACAACTATATTCCCCCTGCACGCCGTGGTAGTGCCGATACATAGAAGACAAACCAGTAGACTCGGGCCTTTGGCTCGGAATAGCTGCCCTCAACAAGAAGTTTTCGGTCTACTTGTTGCAAAAGCACGGTTTTCGCGAGAAGCTCTTGGTGAAGTCATATGTTCATTCCAATATATGGATTTCAGACCCGTGAAAGATTTCGTTTTTGTTGTCCAAATACTTGTCATAGCAGAAAGACCAAGTACATGTAGCTCTCTGGGTGTTGTGCTCTGCATCTGCACATGCGAATCCAATATGCTAGTGATAGCATGTATATGGCGAGTTGATGCCGGTCAACTTTGCAAGGTCATCACCATCCAATTCGAGTACTTGTTTTGAACACTCTTTGTGAGACTGACGACTTGCTTTTTGTGGGTACCGTTCCAGCACGACACAACCGGAAATGCCGAACAGACGTACACTGAGCGGAGTGTGCTTGAAACAAGAGGCGTAAAAGAAAAGATAGTGATTGTGCACCAGGTGCAGCCGAGGAAGAATCAGTATATGGCTGCGTGTTAGGCCGTGGGGTGATATTGGATGTTTGAACTAACAGGAGCTAGCTTGCCAGAATTTCCCAAAAGGCGCACCCTACTCGGTCACCCACATGTGTTCCTGATGATCCGTTTGTTTTCCCGTCGCTATAGATTGGGAGCGGGCTGCATACTCCAAGGGGCTAGATGTAGTCCTTCTTTTCTTTTTCTCCAACAGCTGCATGAGGGGGGCATATTCATAGCGCAAGGGGCAAGCCACATGGTATCGCTAACAACGGACCGATGCCGGCACGCATCGTGCCATAGTGCATATCGCGTGTGGTCTTGGTACGGCTGTTGGTTGGCGCCCGCATTTTTGGACCTTGTGAAGCTGAGAGGGTGGATTTGGAAATACAGAAACGCTAGAAAGGCTAGCCGGATTGCAGGTATTGGCGATTGGGGCTGGCCGTCGTACTATTTCGGGCGTGGCATATGTAGACAGCAGACAGGTACACCTAAGGCTTGCGGCATGGCAAGACGTCACCAACTGTTGCGGGGTGTTTCAAACAGCCACAGGCCGTTGCGCGTCGCTAGATGCATGTGCATGCAGGCTGACGGCGCCGGCGTAAGAGCAGTGTTGGCACCTGGACGGCTTGTTGCATGGGAGGTGTGTTTTCCATGTAGAGTGTTTGTTGGCGTTATTGGAATGGTTGTCCAAGAGAGGAAGAAACAAACAGCGGCAGCAAGCGACCCTCGCGGGCGGGTCCAAGATCTCGATTGCGACGGCTTCCCCGGTGGCGCATGGTGGCTGAGCGCGGCCCACGCTGAAGAACAAAGAAATGGCCTAAATTGGCGATGCAGTCGCACACACAGTAGGTGTAAGCGAGGTGATTTGTTCTCCGGGGATGGTGCAGCAAAAGCCGTTGGCGCGTCAGTCGTATAGGGAGAGAGGAGGGGTGTGTGTGAGGGGAGTGGTGTGGTGTGCATGCTGGAGTCAGTTTCCTGGGTAAAACACGCGGGCTCGGGCATGTAGCGACGACCCGATTGGGCATGTAGCGACGACCCGATTGGGCCTAGCGCCGCCGACCCTTGGAGGCCTGTTTGCTGGGCCCTCAGCACGCAGCACGCAGCACGCAGCAAAGAGCGCAATGGCGCACCGCCGTCTTACCAACCACGGGATACACGGCCGCGACACGCAGGGAGCGCCCACGGTGAGCATACGCGCAGGTGTATGTAGCAGTAGGCGTGCATGTCCATGTATGCATGCCGGCGAGGCAGCGCTGCAGCATGTGGGCGGGCACAGGGCTGGGCATGGGCAATCTCCACTTGGCGGTGCTGAAAAAAACATTAACGCGACTAGGACAGTCTCGGTGAACCGTTGCTGGACTGGGCATAGCCGCGCAGCTGGTGACGGAATTGCATTTGCAATCGGTCAATTGCGCCATGCGGTGGCAGTGGGCAGCCTTGATAACGGCGATTCGTCCAAGATAGCAGAGGCGAATTCCACAAGGCCCGCGGTGGCAGAGCGATGCGGCTGTTCGGCGGGCTCCGCACCCGCGCGCTGCAGAGACAGGCTGGAGAGATAGGCATCGGCTGGCGGCGGCGGCCCTGGCAAAAGCACATGGGGGGCGCCGGGCGCGTGTGCTGTAGTGGTCGCAACAGGCGAGGTGCCGTGCGGGACATTCACTCTGGCATTCACTCTGCTTCCCCAACCGGGCACTGGGACCCAGCAAGCAGCCGGCCGCCTTCACGCGCAGCCCTCCGAGGCCGCCCTGGCCTAGCCCTCCGCCATGTGGGCTCGCGCGGGCTGTCAGGCTATGCCCGCTCGAGCAAAGTTTGATCGTCGTCGAACGGCTTTGGGCCTCGCCGCCTGCCCTTATCTTTCTGGTGCGGCAGCATGCTCGATGCCCCTTCGACCCTGGCCCACCTGTAACACCCATTCACTCTTTACTTAAAAGCCCCAGCCGCCCTCTCTCTGCCCTCACCGGCCTACCCGGCAGAGCTTGACGCCGATCCCTCTCGCTGCTTGGTCCACTTTGCCGCAGCCCTACGCTGCAACCACCCCCCACACACGCACCCACGCACACACACACACGCTCGCACGCGACCTTGAAATTGGCCCTCCTCCCCACGGATTCATCCATATTCCTGCATCATGTCTGGCTTCATCCACAAGCTCAATGGCGCCGTCGCCAGCTCCATTGTCGGCAAGTACTTCCGCCTCGAGGGGTCCGGCCATGTACGTATATCAACTGTCCTTGTCTATATGCTCGACATGCGCTGACCCCGCGACAGCCCAAGGAGCGCAAGGGAAGCTACTTCACGACCGAGTTCCGCGCTGGTCTGGCTACCTTCTTTGCCATGGCCTACATCATCTCTGTCAACTGTATGTCAGCCGCGCCGTTGTGTTGACCCTCGTCGTCTGACGACCATGTACAGCATCCATCGTGTCCGACAGTGGTGGCACATGCGTCTGCCCTGGACTTCCTAATGACCCCATCTGTGAGACCAACGCCGAGTACGCGCTGTGCGTCCAGGAGATTAAGCGCGATCTTGTCACCGCGACAGCTGCCATTTCCGCTTTGACTTCCTTCTGCATGGGCTTGTTCGCCAACATGCCCATTGCCCTAGCCCCTGGAATGGGCCTGAACGCCTACTTTGCCTACACTGTCGTTGGTTTCCATGGCACAGGTACGTCAAACACCGCCGCCGCCGCCCTGCCCGACTGCGCATCCTATCATGTGGTTGCCTGAGCCCATCGCCTCAAGGGCCCCATGATGTACCAACTGGCCCCCGTACAACGTTGCTGATTGTTTTTTCTAGGAATGGTACCCTACCAGGTTGCACTCACTGCCGTCTTTGTCGAGGGTTTCGTTTTTGTTGGTCTTACTATGCTTGGTATTCGGCAATGGCTTGCAAGGTATGTCAATCGCAACCATGCGCGCATTGGTTCGCTTCTGCCATATGTCAATGTTATACAGCTTGGTTCAGGCCAATACAGCATAACAAAGACCTGTCTGGCAATACACGACGTTCATCTAGTGTGAGTGAGCTAACATGACAACCAGGGCTATCCCCGCAAGTATCAAACTCGCTACTGGTGTCGGCATTGGACTTTACCTCACCATCATCGGTCTCGCATACTCTGCTGGTATCGGTCTCATCACTGGCGCCACGTCAACCCCCCTCGAATTGGCCGGTTGTATTGCCTCGGAACAAGTCAATGGCGTTTGCCCAGGAAGCACCAAGATGAGGAGCCCAACCATGTGGATTGGCATCTTCTGCGGCGGTATCCTTACTGTCATGCTGATGCTCTACCGCGTCAAGGGCGCCATCATTATCGGTATCCTCCTGGTTTCCATCATTTCCTGGCCCCGCCCGACCAGTGTGACCTACTTCCCGCACACCCCGACGGGTGACTCTGCGTTTGAGTTCTTCAAGCAGGTGGTTACGTTCCACCCGATTAAAAGGATCTTGGCTGTTCAGGAGTGGGACGTCTCGGCACATGCCGGTCAATGGGGTCTCGCGTTCATTACCTTCCTCTATGTCGATATCCTCGATTGTGAGTTGCACATGGCACAGGCTTTGGGTTTCTGTACTAACATGCTCAGGCACCGGTACCCTCTACTCCATGGCTCGCTTCTGTGGCGCCATCGATGAGCGCACTCAGGATTTCGAAAACTCGTCCATCGCATACTCTGTCGACGCTATTGGTATCTCGATTGGCTCGCTCATGGGCTGCCCTCCCGTCACTGCGTACATTGAGTCGGGTGCTGGTATTTCCGAGGGAGGCAAGACTGGACTTACTGCCATGTTTACGGGTTTCTGCTTCTTCATAGCCATCTTCTTCGCGCCCATCTTTGCCTCGATTCCGCCCTGGGCCACTGGCTGCACGCTCGTCATTGTCGGTTCGCTCATGGCTACTTCGGCCAAGGACATCAACTGGCGTTACCTGGGCGATTCCATCCCTGCTTTCCTCACCATTGCAGTCATGCCCTTTACCTACTCTATCGCCTATGGCCTGATTGCCGGTATCTGCTCCTACCTCCTCATCAACACTACGGTCTGGCTCATTGAGATTGCATCTGGCGGTCGTATTGTCCCACCAAACAAGGATGAGAAGGAGCACTGGACATGGCGCTTGGAGGGAGGTTTCTTGCCTCCATGGGTGCGGAGGCTCGCCGGTGGAAAGTTGGGCTTGAGCAAGAACAGCCCAGAGACGGTGGGCGTTGCGGAGCCCCGCAGTGCCGGCAGCTCTGCTCATGGCGACAAGGAGTTTGTCACTGACAAGCAGATGTAACTGGATTTGTTTTTTGTTTTAGCGCCAGGGCTGCCTTTTTACAGCTGAAGTTGACAATGTTTCCAAGTTTGTGTATTTTATAGCGACATTGGCATCTCGGTTACGTATAGAGGCACGACACGGAAGCCGGCAGCCCAGGACACCGACATGTGTTCTTCGATTATACCCTCACTTGTACCTGCTACTGAATCAGAATTTCTTTGAAATGTATCCACACATCAAGCTTGACTGATGTTTTTGCTGGCCATTCCTTTTGGATGACGACTGCATTCTCGCCTGCGAAGAAGACGTGGTGCGCTCAGGTAGCATCCACTACATGGACTAAGCAAATCTCGAGTCATCAGCCATACAGCAGCGAGAATTGGTGTCTGATGTCTGGCACCTCTCACCAGCGCACACATATCGGCAGTCGGAGCCATGCGTCAGGATCGGAGCGGCGGGGCGCGTCGCACCGATGCAGGGAAAACGCCGAGGCATGTGCATATGACCACCCCTCCATCTATCAATGGTGACATCGGAACCTGGCACGGCGGTTCCGCAGATAATCACAAGATAAAAACTTCCGACCCCAGCCCCGGCCTCTTTGTCTTTGCAATTGAACTCACCACCACCTTTCCACACACACCCACACGTCTTGCGGCACGCGAAACAACGACCGGCCGAATCGCCCCCCACCCACGTGCATAGCTGCTCAGCTCCAGAGAGAAAAAAAGACCAGGGCTCCCCAGGCAAGACGCACACCCGGTGGCTTACGGCATCCCTTCTCCAAGCAGGAAACGACCAGGAAACGACGCTTGCAAGGCGTACGGGCCGAGCCAATAGCCGCGGTAATCTATCGGGGGCGATTTGTTTAAGAAGGGCGGGTGGGTATATACGCCTTGCCGCCGCCGCCTCCGCCGCCGCCGCCGCTGCGTGAGAAAGAAAGAGAAGAACAAAGAAACACGCACATACACATACACAACACATATATATATACCGGCGATATGACTGCAGTGCTCGAGAACGGGCTGCCTGCCAACGGCACAAATGGCGTCAACGGAAATGTGGATCAGCTGGCGAATCCGACACCTTCACACCCGGCATTCGACTCGATACCGGATGTGATACAAGCGTTTGGTACGCTCTCTTTTGCGTCTTCTTCTTAGTCTTGTCTTTGTTGCGCATGCGCAATGATGATAGCACTACCACTACTACATGTACCCCCCCACCTGTGTCAAGAGAAGACTGAACTAACGGGGGTCGTCGTGTGTATGCAGCCAATGACGAATTTGTCATCGTGCTGGACTCGCCGTCGCGCGAGAACGAAGGCGACCTGATTATCGCGGCGTCAGCGCTGACACCGGCCAAAGCCTCGTTCATGATCCGCTACAGCTCAGGCTACATTTGCGCGCCGCTGCCCGTGTCGCGCGCCGCGGCGCTGCACCTCCCGCAGATGGTAGCCGACAACGCGGATCCCAACCGCACTGCCTACGCCGTCAGCATCGACGCCGCGGACCCCTCCGTCTCCACGGGCATCTCGGCCCACGACCGCAGCCTGACGTGCCGCATGCTGGCCGACCCCGCGGCCAAAGCATCCCACTTTAGGAGACCAGGCCATATCCTGCCGCTGCAGGCTCGCGACGGCGGCGTCAGAGAGCGCAGGGGACACACCGAGGCTGCAGTCGATCTCTGCAGGCTCGCCGGCAAGCAGCCCGTCGGCGTCATTTGCGAACTCATCACCGACGGACACGAGGTCCCCGGCAAGCCTGAGCTCGTTGGCGGCGGCATGATGCGCAGGGACGAGTGTCTGGCCTTTGGCAAGAAGTGGGGGATCAAGGTGTGTACTATTGACGACATGGTCAAATATATCGAGGCGAATGAAGGTGTTTTGGGCGCTGTGTCGTAGGTATAATCTACAAACTCTTTTTATTTTCTACAAGCAAAAGTGTATATGGGGGTTTTCTTATTTTCTTCTCTTGGGTGAGCAATATATCATGATTCTATGTAAACAACTTGTTTGGAAAGACAAAGGTACAAAAAAACAGAATTCACTTTTAAAACATGGTTTTTGGTGTTGCTATTTTGCGTATTACCAGAGAGAAAATAAACATGTTACTAGAAATAGTTATGTTTTTTTTTTTTTTTTGTTCCATTAGAGTCTAGTGAGCTCGAGGCTATGTAAGACTTTGGCCGAGGCCGTTCTAACTAGATTTATTTACAAATACGAGTTTGTGCTTGAAGTGTGTCTGTGGTGCTTCGGCCTTTGTCTAGGTAAGCGATAGCTATCGCTTACTAGACGCCTAGTGCTAAAGAGCATTTTGATAACAGAAAGAGATGTTAGAAAGCAAAGCAATCCTCCAGCGGGCTCTTTTAGGGATAAAAAGAAAAAGTTTCGACTTAGGTAGTTTTAATGAGTAACTCTCTCGTTCATTTTTAATGAGTCTTCATCTCAAGTTTTAGTGAGTAACTCTCTCGTTTCGACTTAGTGCCCAGCGAGTAGCAGCTGTCTTGGCGTTTCGAACTTGGTGCTTCTACAGGAGGTAACTAGTCTCTGTATCAGCG